CAACAAATCCATCCTCACTGCCAATATGGCAGATAATGAGCCTTTTCCCTTTACCTGGAAATCGAAGTACTAACTGGTGTAGATTTATTTCAATAAGCGAACCTTTTTCAAATGTTTTCATCACATTCAGCGAAAAAACATTGAGACATGAGTATCAGATTGCTATAATTGGGATTATTTAGTCATATTGAAAGAAAGAATATTGAACGTCGTATGATACTCAGCGCTTCACAATTTAATTTAAAGTTATAAACCTTAAAAAATGAATGATCAGGAACCTGAAATACGCGCAAATATTAATATTAACAAATTATAACTTTATAAAGCTTAAAGTATGAATTAAAATGATTAGAAATATTAGGAACGGAACACAATATAAAACTTAGTAACTTTTTTTAAGTTTATAATATTCGACATATTTTAATATTATATTAAAAAATTATTGAAATATCGAAAACACATAAAAACTTGGCTTAAAAAAGTTCTAACAAATGAAAATGACAATAAAACATCCACGCATTTTATCGAAAGTTATAAAAGTTTTGTTACTTGTAATATGTTTTATCTGCCCCCTGGAATTAATGTTTAGAACCTTGTTCCAAGGTTTGAAAAACATCCGATTGTTGTCTATTACTCGTATTTACCTGCTGGATTTTTTAATCCGGTGGACAGTCCATCTAGAAAGGCCCTCCTGGATGAAGTTACAGAATCATCAACCCATACTTTACTTGTAGTGTGTCCTGCGTTTACCCACGTTTCATCAAGGTAATAAATCTTCCTGTTTTGATTTCTATATTTCCCAATTTTTGTTAAATAATCCCTCCTCCATAGCACAATTTCTTCTCTATCCAGTAGTAAACTATTACGACCCCGTTTTTTCCATTTGAAATTTAAATGCTTCAGTAACGCATGGAAAGTTGATCGTTTGAAATTTGGCAACGTTGTATCTCCATTTACCTCCTGCAGTACTTTATCTATAGTAGGTATTTCATTCCTAAAGAAGAATTCATGCACTCTCCTCCTAATCGCATGCTTATCAGCTTCATCCAATGATTTAACAATACTTTTGCGACGTTTACTGGTCATTGGCTCAGAAAAGGTGTGATTTTTTTTGTATTGTCTTAACACATTAAACACTGATACGCGACACACCCCAACTTTGTGAGAAACCTTCACAACAATTTCTTTGATGGTTGATGCCTCGTTCTCCTCGCGCTCGATCTTATATATATTCAAAATGACCTCTTTCATTTCTGCACTCAGGTGTCTTTTTTTGGAGCGTTTCCTAGGTGGACTACAGCAGTTTACAACTTCATCGGCAGTATCTGTACTACTGGGCATTTTGCGCAAGCAGTTGATAACAATAACAATCAATAACAAGGTATAACAATAACAACGACAAACTCAACTTCTTAATAAGATAACAAACGAAAACGTCCAAAGAAATATCAAATTGCAATGATGCACACGACATACGTAACACGTCTGAACCTGAATGTGACTCTGCCTTGATACGACTGCTCTGCCGCTCGGCATAGGCATTTAATTGCGAATTGACCAATGAGGGCTCCTATTTTACGTCGAGACGGCGGCGTTAGCGTGAAAATCACCCGAACCTTTTGTTTACATCCGGTCTATCTCTTATCTGAATATATTGTAGTGTGATGTTTTGATGGTGAACAATGTTTTTGCGCTAAGTTGCAACTTTTACTATCGATCCGAGGTATTTGCAGGTAACCTTGTTTATCTACACATTTTCTTAAATTGTAAGTTCCTAGCTTCGTCTTTCCTACGAAATTGGTTTATTTACATGCCTAAATCAGAAATACCTTGGAGAAAACAAGTTTCAAGTCGCGCAAACCAAAGAATGATAGTAAAAGTAAATACAACCGATAACTTTCGAAATAAGAAGACGTTATGGAAAAAAGGGAGCAGCAAAGGATCAATAATCAAAATAAATAAATGGGAGTCCTGTTTTGGGCACGTTTCTCTATCAGAATCCATCTGGATAAGTGAAAATATATTTCGAGATTAATAATAAGTATTTTGGGTAAAACTACACTTTAGCGCATATTGCCAATACATAATTTCTTATTTTAGAATGAAATATTAGGATGTAACTTTTACGAAAATATCATTTTTTCTTCAAGGAACACTCTGCTTACTATTTGATAGAACTTCAAAATTGCATTATCGGTGGTAATACTCTAGAATGGAATACTGTTTTATACGCTGTTTTTTTCTGCTTTTTGCACAAAGGAAGCTCTAAATTATAATATACACTGTATATTACTAAGGAAAATGGATGTGAAACTGTAAAAAATCGTTGTTTTTTGCAAAAAAAGGCTCAAAACTAGCCGTGTTATTACACTTTAGCTTATTAGCTAAAATAACAGTTCAAAATATATACGACTTTGAAGTTGAGTCATTAATTTTCAGATAATGATTGTAGAAGGAAGATAAACCAAAATCTGTGTAAAAATAAAAAAAAAATTAAAAAAAATTTTTACCTTGTTTTATAAAGTATCCTCCCGACAAGTATTTCAGTACGGACCTGTATTTGATCGTGAGGTCCCCTGTGAGGTCTTAAGTCACCTGATTCACGAGCCCGTTGTACTACATTAACAAAGGCACGAGGCGTTGGTTGCACTCGATTGGGAAACCGATCCGCATAAACATGTGCCATTTTTTATTTCGTTTGAGCCACGCAACAGATACCACTATTCACTGACACTGACTGTATACAAATGAATGAAATAATTGTAAAAACATTGTTCCAAATTCTTTCGCTTTTTTGTTTCCGATGCGATGAACCGATACGGCGGATTATATCCGTTGTCGCCAAACACGAGCACATAATATTATTATTGAAACAGGGCGGTACTCAAACTTCCAAAGGGCTATAACTTTGTTACTTTAATTTTACCAGAAAAATGGTAAAGGAAAAAAACATTTCTTTTGATCAGATCTACTCACTGTTAAAATAAATGACTCAACTTCGAAGTACATACGTAGATGATGGTATTTATTAATGAGATCAAAGTTTTTGCATTTATAAGACGTATTTGAAAGTACAAACAATTCCTAATGGCCATTTTATAACGTTCATTTCTTGACAGATAAGATCAATGATGTCCATTGTTGCCAAGTTGTACTTTTTTTTTGAGAAATACGTAATAACAAAAAAACAGTTATTTGCAAAATAAAAGTCTTAATTTATTGTAAATGACTTGTTTTATGTGAAATTGTCCCAATATTTACTGAAAGCTAGATGAAATTTTGAAGAGTATGTGCCTAAACAGTGGAAAATGCACCAGCGGGTCGCGTAACATAAAAAGTCAAAAGGCACCAGCGGACATTGCATATAAAAATGCCCAACTTCGATTCGTCGACATTTAATTAGGTATAAAAACTAACGCTATCATAGGACACGAGGTAGATTTAGTACAGCAAAACCTGCCCGCATTTTCATGGCAATCCTGTGCCGATTGCACATTTTCCGCTAGTATATAAGTAAGAATTTGTGCAAACCAAGGTAAGGTATATTACTATCCAGGATTTGGCAACATTGCGAATAGATGGAGAAATTATGTTAGTGATGGTGGTGTAGTTATGGGAACATTTATCTGAAATAAAAGAAATGACTACTTAACAATGAACTATTTTCATCATTAGAATTAAGCATCCCACAAACCGGCGCGAAATAATCGCGGCGAAATATTCGCAACGAAATTCAGAGCGAAATTCGCAATCTGTTTCGCCTGTTTATTCATACCAAAGCGTCTTATTCGCTCCGCGAACGTGAAGGTTTCGACAGGTTGCGTACATTTTATTATTGCCTTTTGCAATGAGCTCGTCTTCAGAAGAAGAGGAGGCACTTCTATTTCTTGCTTTAGAAAAGGAACAAAATGCACGGTAAGTTATGTTTATTTAACGCCATTTGATAGTTGGGTATGTATTAAGTTTAACGAAGTACGTAAAACAAATATTTTCAATTTTGTTTAGGAAACGAAGGAAGTGGGTACATGATATTAACTTGGAACGAAATAAATTTGGGGAATACCATACCTTGATGCCACAACTTCGGCTGGATGAACAGCGCTTTTACGTATATTTTAGAATGACTCCAGAGTGTTTCGATGAAATATTGAACTTGGTGAAATATGAAATACGAAAATCTGACACAAATTATCGTGAAGCTATTTCGCCAGAAGAACGACTTGCTATTACACTCAGGTAAAAAATTATATGTATTAAAATTAGTAGGCTTATCGAATACGAAAACTTCAGGGATCGTGAAATGAATATTTTATTGTAATAATTGGACTACATGTTGCCACTAGGCTTAAATGTTGCTAAATAATTCGAGGCAGAATTTGCCTCCTCTGTTGGGTATATTATTGGAGTAAACCCAGTGCCGCTTGGGAAGGACGACATACTACTATCATACATACTTGCAGAATTCTGGGTAGACGCTGAAGACATTTCTTCAATATGTTCAAATTCTTCGTTCGCTATTAGTTCGGCTGTTTTTAGTTTTATTCGGGCTTGACGCTTTAAGGGAAGTGTTTTCACAGTCTGTGCATGTGCCAAGAAAAGTGAATCAATGGCCTCGTTCTCTTTTTTAGGTTTTTTACCTTCAAAATAATTAATGAGCTGTTGTACAGACGAAGATGGTGGTTCATAGCGTTTTCTGCTCGTTTTATATTTTGGTGTAGTTGCAGTCTGCGGAAAGGTGTGCCCTGGAGTAGTCACTGCTGTAGTGTTGAATGAAGAAGGTGGTGCTGTCTGTGTTGCCGAGGCGTTCTGAGCATCTTCTGCATCTACATCAGCATTTTCATCTTCTCCATGGCCGCGGTCTTCCAAATTTTCGGTTTCTACATTTCCATCCCTTTCCTGATATATATTTGAGTTAAATTCGGCAGTCTCATAATGTATGACGTCAATATCTTTCACATTAGACGACGTTTTGGCAAATGCCAAAAAAGGACGGAAAAATTCCACTGCCATTTTTTTATGTTGCCCACTGCTTGGCCGGTCTTTGGTTTGGTAGATTTTATATATTTTGCAAATGTGTCTCTGATATTCTTCCACCTTTTTTTTACTTCAACACCTAAAAACGATTTTTTTTATAGATTCCTTGCCACTGGTGACACCTTCTATACCATTGGGCATAGCTTTCGAGTTGGCTTTACAACAGTGAGTGCAATCGTAACCGAAGTCTGTGAAGCGATATGCAGACATATGGAGCATATATATTTACCAGAAAGATGAAAATGATGGGGATTTCCCAATTGCATTGGCAGCGTGGACGGTGAACATGTAACAATCAAGAGACCTAACAACAGTGGCTCCAATTACTGGTGCTATTTACATAAATATTCAATAGTACTTATGGCCATTGTTGGCCCGGACTATAAATTTATATGTGTTGATATTGGTGGTTTCGGAAAAAATAGTGATGGGGGTATTTTAGAAACCTCAAACATGGGAAAAGGATTTGAACAAAATTTAATGAGTGTCCCTGCACCTAGATTTCTCCCTGGGCAAAATGAAATCTGCTCGTACGTCTTAATTGGTGATGAAGCATTTGCTTTAAAACCATACCTTATGAGACCATTTCCTTATAAGCAGACTTTAACAGACGTCAGAAAAGAGAAATACAATGTAAGACTTTGTCGAACTAGAAGGGTCGTGGAAAATGCGTTTGGTATTTTGTCTCAAAAATGGCGAATATTTTACAGGCTATTAGAACTAAAGTAGATACTACTATTCTAATTGTACGTACGGCATGTGTTTGACACAATTTTTTACGAAGTAAAAGTGGCGATGACAAATATTTTCAATTCTTAGATCCCCCAGAACCCGTGCTTGGAGCTTTTACTGATATAGCAAATGATCCTCGGCGGGCAGCAAGGCTAGCATTTTCTACTCGTGGCAAATTCGTAAATTATTTTAATTCTGATATGCCTATGCCCAATATATAGAATGTTCGTTTTCACATTTGTGTAGACTGTAAATTATTTAACAAGTTAATAAAAAATATTAGGTAGATACCATTTGTATTTAATTCTTTTCCTATTTCCATCCAAATCTTGTCTTTCTTTCTCACATTCCTGTATTCATCGTTCGACAAATCATACAAACAAGGATACTTTTTCACTATTTCTATCAATAATTCCGTTTTTTGCCATTGCGAATTTTTGAAGAACGGCGTCAAAAACGCGGTCAAAGGCGAACTGAAATACGCCGCGATAAAAACGTTGGAACAATCGCATTCGCTTCGCACAAGTCTGAGCCTGTCCGTATACTGATCGCGAATTCATCGCCGCGAAATTTTCGCAGCCAAAGCGAATATTTCGCGCCGGTTTGTGGGATGCTTAATGCAAAATTGCATTATTGCGATGAGTAGTGTCACAGTAATATACAGTGTGTATTATATTCATAAATTTTTAGCAATATTTTGTGTAAACAAGAAAAAACAGCTTATAAAGCACTATTCTATACCACAGTATTACCACCCAAAATTCAACTTTGAAACTCTATAAAATAGCAAGCAGAGGGTTCCTTAAAGAAAAAAATGATATTTTCGTACAAGTTACATCCAAATCTTTCATTTTAAAATAAGAAATGAAATACTTGCCATATGCGCTGAAGTAGTTCAGCCGTATTTTGTTCTGAATATGCTTATTATTGTGTATTGGAGGTAAATTATCAATTCCTCTTATTCTCGTGCCTAGACTTCAGTTAAATAACTGTAGCAGGATATATACATATGTAAATGAATAATGAAGATATGTTTTATAATGTATAATATGTGCTTTAGCAGTTCTATATGACATGTTTAAAAAGCTCGCAAAATAATAGCTGTATGTGCGCTGCATCACTATTCGTCGAAAGAATAGGCAATGTACAAAGCTTTATTCATTTTTACCAACGGTATCATGTATCAATTTTTTTAAACTGTTTTAGTACCACTGGAATGGTTTGGAAAATAAAGGAACTGACATTTCAAACTGTTGTGAATTCTGCCATGTGGACTAGCACTAGCAACTAAAAATATAAATACATAAAGCTCTGCTGGAAAACAAACCTTCCCATCGAAGAAACGGCTCGATATTCTGAAAAATTTAAGAAATGCAAAATATTGCTGAAATATCACGATACGTAACTGCATATAAACCTAGGTCCTAGATGCATCGCGTATGTACATGAATATACAAAGATCGATGATAATATGTATTGAGGTATTAAGTTATCAGTCTATGAAGTAACAACATACGCAATACCAAGCAAAAGTTAGATAATACATTGAAATCCTGTCTTTTGAATATTTTTCAAAGCTTATTACAGCATCCTTACAGTACGCCATATCATAAGTTCAATGTCTCTCTTAACAGCAAAACCAAATTAAAATGTCAATAATTTTTCATCAGAAGGTACATTTGTCCTTCGACTGTTCCCAACTAGCAAAGTAGTTGTATAAGCTTTTCGTAAAAGAACCGTTCAGCCATAAAAGCTCTCTATTGTTGTTGCCTGAACACCAAAATGCTGGCTTAATGTTGTGTGGAATGCAAATTTGCTTTCTGCAACATATTTGCTCTAAAGTGAGGTGTTTAAAAGCATAGTTATACAACACCTTATAGGGCAAATTTTTAACTGTCGCATAAACGTTTATACAACTATTTTATACGGCATATTTGCTCGTTAGTCAAAATGATTGTGTTGTGGCATCCATGGTAACGTTTATAAAACAAACCCGAGCCTTGTTGTTTTGCTGTGCAATTTACTACTTTAGCCAATAAATTGCTCCCAACAGAAGCACTTATACAACTGTTGTTTAGTAACTGTTAAAGGCTGTACGTAAGTATGTTAAATATACGCATGTATATTGGTTCAAAATGTTTTATCAACTGTTCAAACAGAAGATATAGATCTGGTACAAATTCTGGATGAATCATTCGACTCTGTCGGTATTTCATTTCAGACATTTGTCAAATTGTTGTATAACACCTGCAGGCAACACCAAAATATTCTAATAACCTAAAGACAACATGGACGATGCCATGATTATGCACAACCACCCGCCATATTGGGCAAACATTTATTCCTCTATTTAATATTAAATAATTATGTTTCAGTTCGAAATTGCAGATATAAAGTGATAAACAGTAGTGCAATTGTGTCTAAATATAGGATTTGTGGAAGATTTAACGCAGACAAGTTCAGTTTTCCATCTTAAAAATCTAGACATACTTTTGATCATCATCAAAATATGAATCAAATATGATGCCCGTAGAAATTGCGTAACTAATTTGCACGATAATCACAATATAATTTGCTGCGCAAGTAATTCAATAGCCCTATATCACATTGTAGAAGTTTATCATATACCTGTGTACGAAATTGACAATGGCCGATATGTAAGTAAACAAGATGACTGTAATGTATTAGTTATATATTCTTCTTCGTCTATACAATACATAAGAAATACATACATAACAGTTGCATAGTTGACAAAAACTGAATCTTGCACTGACGCAAATGTCCTATAGCGGCTGCAAGAGGCTTACACTTTTGTTGTATAACTGTTACCAGCAGCCCTTATACAATCTCTTAAATGACTAAGGTGTCCTATTAGGTGTGCGCATTCCGCTTGTATAGCAGTTCTAAGAGGGTTTTGCTAATGTTCTTACACTATACAATGCTGTGTAAGGAATACTGTATAATCATTCTTGCAACTCTATTAGGAGTGATAATTGTTAGTTGGGTTATAATTTCGAGGTATCCGTCTTTCCGTTTTTCTACTGCTTATATCTCACGCGCTGTCTGTCAAATCTGTCAGTCGATTGTCACATTGTTCTGTCATTTATCTATGGCAATGTAATGGGAACATAGATATATGAACATGACTATTACACACTTTGTGTAGCCTGCGAAACAGACATTTTTCTGAACTGTACACAAGTAACATGCAGAATTAATTATGTTTTACCTCAACAGCCTAGTTATGTAGTCCGGCCAGTTATCTGGAAACATGACCAAGAAAAAGCCCACAGCGATCAGGATCATTCCTGCTAACTTCATGCCCTCGAAGCTTGCGTCGTATAGCACCACGTCTAAAGCTGAAATTCGAAGTGGAAGGTACGTTCAATGAAAATAAAATGAAAGAGATTACAGTAATTGGTTTAAAAAAACTGCGAGAAATGTTTTTACAACACAATGTACAGTGGACCATCGGTAATCCGACAAACATTATGCAGGGCAGTGTCGGACTATCGAATTTGTCGGATTATAGAGCACTGCCTAAGACCAACTATAGTCCGGAATTTTTACAAAAGAGTACCTTGTAATCCGACAAATTACACATCCAATGGTAACATTATATATGTTATGTATACCTTGAAGTACAAATCATACATAGTTTCTGTATGTCGAATTTAGTAAATTAAATAACAATAGAGAGCTTACGTTTTATTATAAAATTAAGCATAAATGCACATACATATGTACCAAAATAATCAAGAATTATGGATGAATATATGAGAGAAGCTATGGTCAAGAGAATGGTATATGAAAGAGTGAACCAACACCCGGGTTTTCACAGATATTCAAGGAGTCTAAATTTAAACGCGATCACGACTACAGGAAATTTTTAATAATCCAGAGTGAAAATGATTGGAAATGATAAACAAAATCAACAAATGGCTGTGTAGCCGTTCTCAGAAGGGAAAAGAAAAGATAGTATGATAATAACATCGATAGCATCAAAAATACAACAAAAATAATTCTGAAATGATGTGGAAAAGATTAAAGAATATTGTTTCTACACATAGAAAGAAATTATCTCAAATGCTGGATTTAGAACAAAATATTCTACAGAAACAGCAATCCAAATGGTGGTGGAAGACTGGAGAAGAAGTATAGATGAAAATGTATTACAACAGTACTTTTACATTTCAAAAGGGCATTTGAGACTATAGATAGGTAAAAATTGGTAATAAGTAAGTACATCGCTATGGTCTTAAAGGATCAGTATTATGCATTTTACAAAATTATTTAATAAATAGAAGTAAAAAAACTAATGTTGGAAATAGTATGTGAAGCGTATATATCAGTAGAGGTGCCACAGGGGAGTAAGTTAGGGCCGTCACTATTTATTATTTATATAAATGATATTTGTGACATTTTAGAGTAAAAATCAAATTTATGCGGAAGATAAATTTATACCTGTATATATATAGGTGAAAAATTAAAGCTTCCGCCTTCGACCAAATTTAAGGAAAGAGAACTCTTTATACTTTTTCAATTCTCTCTAGCTTTTAATGGACTTTGCCATCATCATCAGGAGCTGCAATTACAATGATAACAGTAGCAGCAATAATGTAAAATGAATTTAAATTGACTCATTAATTAAAATATAGTTTATTCAACTACCTCTGGTCGGTTTAACAATTTCTTACATAACATTCTGAAAATCACATCATCTGAAGTGAGTTGGCAACGTTGGCACACGCCCACAATTCGTTCCATCTTTCTACACAGACATTGACAACCTTCGGCCTTCTGTCAAAGGGTTTATCTCACTCATTATTCCATGACACCATTTTGTGCAATCATCAAGTGGCTTCACGATGTTTTAATGTTTTTAAATAATTTTTAATCTGTTTTTAACTTGTTCTTGTCATATTTTATATAATTTTGACCATTGTACCATCTATCCAGCTCTCACCATGTTACTGGACGTTTCCCTCATCCTATACGTAAACAACAATTAGCAACATCCTCACATACTACTGTAAGTTGAGTCAATTTAAATTCATTTTACACTATTGTTGCTACTGTTATCATTGTAATTGCAGCTCCTGATAATGATGGCAAAGTCCATTGGAAGCTAGAGAGAATTAAAAAAGTATAAAGAGTCCCCTTTGCTTAAATTTTGTCGATGTACCCAACAAAAGGCGGAAGCTTTAATTTTTCACGTAACTGGTCAAGACGACAATGACCACGTCTCAAGTTATATATATATATATATATATATTAATAAAGCCAAATTAAACACTGAACAATAAAGCAAAAACTGTCTCTAAGCTTCATAAGACCACAATGAAGCGTTCTTTTCTCTATTTTCAGAACATACACATAATTTTAAAAAGAAATTATCATCGAATAGGAAGAGAACATATTAATAAACTCCTATCAAATATTCTTTAAAAGTTATTATCCTCTACCTCTTTGGTATAAATTTTTACTTTCTTTTAACTACTTTGTTTTGATTTTGGAATTTATTCCAATATACAATTGATCCATGTACAGACATTGTCCTTCTGTGGATTGAAACATACAGGGTGCTTCACATCTTTTCTGACAAATTTTAACCACATATGCACTGTTACGAAAGGAGTTAATTTTAAAAAAAAAAAATGTAATAAAAGTCCTACAGAAATTAAGTTATAAACCTGGGTTTCAATAATAAATTAAAAAATTTATTAATATCTGTATTTTGCGTTCGTCGTCGTGATATTAGAACACGCATTGTAGCAAATGTTGTACCAAACAACTGACGAAAACAAAATATCAGGAATTTTTCTTTCGTACTTATAAAAACGTGTAAGTAAGGTTTAATCTGAAGTTAAATAAGAAAGTATTTTCGAGTTTATGTTTTTAGTTGTTTATTAATAAAAATGGCACATGTGTACACTAATGAGGAATTAGTGGACATTGTTTTAGCAGTGCAAAATTCGCGAGTGGTTGCTCGATTGTATGCACACCGATTTGCGAAAAGGCACATACCACACCACGAAACATTTGGGGTCGGGTTTCCCCACAACGCGTTTTAAATGCTTAAGCCGAAATTTTGGATATTGTGGAAGAATATCCGGGAATAAGCAAAAGGCAGTCAGGCAAACAGGTCCCAAAAGTGTCACATGCAACAGCGTGGCGCATATTACATGAGGCCCAACTGTACTCTTATTACGTTCAGATAGTCCAGGGCTACCTACAGACTACCTCCTAAGAGCCGTTTTACACACAAGAGAATTACTCCCAAAATTATGGTCATAATTATGCCGAAAATGTTTACTGTCGTATTACACATAAAAGAATTCTTGTGAAAATTTTCATGTTAAAAATATAAAACCCGCTCTATAGAGTATGCGCGAGAATCGGCGTAGAGGGTTATTTCCGTGCATGTCAATATCAAATGTCAACGTCAACAACATAACCTCACTTAACATTTATGGGTGTGGTCCTGTACGAAGAAGCGTTTATTGTTATTGCTTATTCGTAATGTCGTGGAATCGGGAAGAAGTTACACTTTTGTTGGAGGAGTACCAAAAATGGCCAAACCTGTACAAGGTGAAGTCACCCAATTATTACAAAAACAGAAATTTGCGGCGTCAGGCGCTGGATGAGATAGTCCAAGCATTAAATCAACGACGTCTGTTGTCTTTCCGATTATATTGAACGTCATACCCGTTAGGGTCATGTGCTTTCAAAATATTCGAAAATATTACTCTAAAGCGCAGGTGTTTTCTATGAATTACTCGGAAATTTTGTTTGGTTGTGTCATACAGGTTGTAGAGAAAATCTTCAAATCTTCCACGCAAATTTTCGGCATAATTATGACCATAATTTTCGGAGTAATTCTCTTGTGTGTAAAACGGCTCTAAGAGTAAGACTTTGTCAGTGGTTGTTGCGCGCCGAAGCTTGTATTGCAGTCAATGGAAACAATTTTGAACAGCTTTAACAAGCAAGTGAACTGTCAAGCTGTATTATTTTATTATCTCGATTTCTGTAGGACTTTTATTACATTTTTTTTTTGAGAAATCAACTTATTTCGTAACAGTGCATATGTGGTTAAATTTGTTGGATAAGTTGTGAAACACCCTCTATATTCACCCATTGTACTACTACTACCCTGTATAAGTGAAGCCGGTGTTCGAATAAAGTGACAAAAAACTATGAAATAAGAACTGTTGAAACAGTTCAAAGGGTTCCCCACACTATGCGGGAGGTAACATTCAGGCATAAGACCGTAAGACGAGTGCTCTTGTCGCTCGACATCAACAAAGCTTCTGGTCCGGACTTGATTCCTGCCATTGTACTGAAGAGATGTGCAGCGGAGCTTGTACCAGTTCTTTCGCGTCTCTTCCAGATATCTTATGGATCTGGCACCTTCCCAGAAAACTGGAAATTTGCTCATGTACAGCCCATCCCAAAAAAAGGATCTAAAACCGACCCTTACAACTACAGGCCTATAGCTCTGCTTTCTGTTATAAGTAAAGTGATGGAGAGGTGCATAAATCGCGAGCTTCTGGACTACCTCGAACGTCACAGCTTGATTAGCGACAGGCAGTATGGTTTCCGGCACCAACGATCCATAGGGGACCTCCTAGCTTACGTCACGCAACTGTGGAGTAAACTCATCCAGTCTCATGGTGAGGCTCATGTCGTCGCTCTTGACATCACGAAAGCGTTCGATCAGCTCTGGCCGCAAGATATCCGTCGTAATTGACGGATTCTCCTCTTCATCCCACAACGTCAACGCGGGTGTTCCCCAGGGATCGGTCTTGGCTCCAACACTGTTTCTCTTAGATATCAACGACCCTCCTTTCCTGCACGATCAACCCAATTCACAGCTTCGCTGATGACAGCACTCTACATGCAGGAATTCAGAGTGACAAGCCGATCTCTGCCGCTGAGCTGGAAAAAAGAAGACTAGCGACGACTTCTTCTCTGACAAGAGACCTGGAGGCTATCACTGCTTGGGGACGCAACAATCTTGTACAGTTCAATGCTTCCAAAACACAGTACTGTACTTTGACGAACAAAAAGCGTCCTAGCGCTCATACAGTTTCGATGGACGGTCGAGTTCTACCAAAGAGCCATTCATTTCGGCTGGTCGGAGTCCAGATCACCGAGGACCTGATCTGGCACGAACACATCTCTTCAATAGCTGCAGCTGCTGGGAAAAAGCTAGGCTATTTGTTTAGGGCTAAGAAGTACTTTTCTCCGCATGACCTTCTCACTCTATACAAGGCCCAGATAAGGCCTAGCCTCGAGTATTGCTCACACATTTGGGGTGCTGCCGCCCCGACTACATTGTCCATGCTCGATGCTGTCCAGAGGAGGGCGGTCCGACTGATCGATGACTCTTCCCTAGCAGACAGTCTCGGGACTCTTTCGCACCGGCGGGCCGTCGGCGATCTAGCTCTTTTCTATCGCTACACCAACGGGCTTTGCTCCTCAGAGCTCTCTTCCATGATGCCGCCGCGCGATGTGCCTGCCAGACAGACCCGCCTGACTTCGGCATCCCATCTTAACCGTGTCAAACTTCGTACATCCAGAACTGGCCGATACGACCGCTCCTTTGTCCGAGGGTGTCTAGATTGTGGAACAATCTACGGGAGGAAGCTTTTCCCAGTTCTACTAACCTTAGGCAGTTCAAAAATCGTATTAACAAAATTTCTTTGGGATCATCATAGCAGCCGCGGTGTTCCGGCATTTAGGCTTCTGCCTGCGCGGCTGTTTCGATATAAAAAAAAAAAAAACAGGATAAAACACTGTAATTTCGGGAAAGTGATAAAAAATAGTAAAGCTAAGCAAATATCTTACCTGCTGATACTGGAACAGCTGTTATAAGTCCTAATGTGATGAACAGGTCATAAGTAAGGGCAACACTGAAGTTACCCAGTAAATTGGCAACTGAAAATCATAATTCGTTAGCTGTTGAATATTCGTATCAGTGAAATTGATAATATGAATAAGAAAACGTTTTTAAATCGAACAAATATTACTTTTACCAGTACGAATATTGTGTAAATCTATGAAAGGAAGTTACCGTCCAAAAACTATAATGCACCGTTTTGGATTTTCCCTCAATCGAATGCTTTTCGCATTACAGCTTACCTAGAGAAAGACAACTTGCGGCGAGTAACGCTGGCCACGGTAGCGTTTCCCAGTGTAAAGTCTCCGTACCTAGTAGGAACAGGCCCAAACATAAAGGCCACAGGAACGCCGCATTGAGCATGCCGATTAACGAAAAGAATAACGCCACCTGGAAAACAAGTCACTTTTAAAAAAATTGCTGAAATTACTGATGAGGTTCGATAAGCCCAGTTTTTTATTCGTCGACTATGTGTTCTCTCCACTGTTGTTTTAAAAACAATTTCAGCAACAATCTCGCCGACTTAGTAAGTAAATGTTTTTCTCCTGATTGCTATTTGTTGCTATTGTCAATAATTGTTTCCAGCTCCAGACGATGAAGACGTAGATCTTCGAAAGCTTGAGAGTTTAAGTTATAAGAGTGTACTTTTGCAATAATTTGCCTTCTATCCAAAGAAATTAAAGGATATCTTCTCCTAACAGTTAAGGCAATTAACTATGAATTATATATATATATATATATAGGTGAAAAATTAAAGCTTCCGCCTTTTGTTGGGTACTTCGACAAAATTTAAGCAAAGAGGACTCTTTATACTTTTTTTAATTCTCTCTAGCTTTCAATGGACTTTGCCATCATCATCAGGAGCTGCAATTACAATGATAACAGTAGCAACAATAGTGTAAAATGAATTTAAATTGACTCAACTTACAGTAGTATGTGAGGATGTTGCTAATTGTTGTTTACCTATAGGTTGAGGGAAACGTCCAGTAACATGGTGAGAGCTGGATAGATGGTACAATGGTCAAAATGATATAAAATATGACAAGAACAAGTTAAAAACAGATTAAAAATTATTTAAAAAAAACATTAGAGCATTACATCGTGAAGCCAGTTGATGATTGCACAAATGGTGGTCATGGAATAATGAGTGAGATGAAACCCTTTGACAGAAGGCCGAAGGTTGTCAATGTCTGTGTTGAAAGATGGAACGAATTGTGGGCGTGTGCCAAACGTTGCCAAATCACTTCAGATGATGTGATTTTCAGAATGTTATGTAAGAAATTGTTAAACCGACCTGGCTGCTTGGCTTAACCAACACAGTCTACTCCATCAATTGCAACAACTGCAACCAAATATACATAGGTCAGACCTCCAGATCTCTTAAAGGAAGGATGACATCACACAAAAGTGATGCTAGGCTTCATCCTGAAAGATGCGCTCTAGCATCTCATGTTAACACAACAGGGCATTCTATGAATTACACAAGTATCAAAGTTCTTGTTAAAGAAAAACACCTTTCCAAACGTTTATTCCTGGAAATGTCCCACATTTTCATGAATAACAACTGTATCAACAAAAAGACAGATGTTAAACAACTGAGCGTTTACTCATATTTGCTAAACTGCGAAAAATTGGAGAACTTACATATCTCCCCAAATTTCGACTCTTCACAACCATAAATAGAATCTGTATTTTGGCCGATTCCACCAGTAAATTTCATTCCACTCAAAATATAATAATTCTCTTCTCACGATTTATTAATAATTGTTAATTTAAATTCCCATTAATTAAAATATAGTTTATTCAACTGCCTCTGGTCGGTTTAACAATTTCTTACATAACATTCTGAAAATCACATAATCTGAAGTGATTTGGCAACGTTGGCACACACCCACAATTCGTTCCATCTTTCTACACAGACATTGACAACCTCTGGCCTTCTGTCAAAGGGTTTCATCTCACACATTATTCCATGACCACCATTTTGTGCAATCATCAAGTGGCTTCACGATGTAATGCTCTAATGTTTTTTAAATAATTTTTAATCTGTTTTTAACTTGTTCTTGTAATATTTTATATAATTTTGACCATTGTACAATCTATCCAGCTCTCACCATGTTACTGGACGTTTCCCTCATCCTATACGTAAACAACAATTAGCAACATCCTCACATACTACTGCAAGTTAAGTCAATTTAAATTCATTTCACACTATTGTTGCTACTGTTATCATTGTAATTGCAGCTCCTGATGATGATGGCAAAGTCCATTGAAAGCTATAGAGAAATAAAAAAGTATAAAGAGTCCTCTTTGCTTAAATTTTGTCGAAGTACTCAACAAAAGGCGGAAGCTTTAATTTTTCACACACATATATATATATATATATATATATATATATAATGCGAGCACTAGTCATTGCGATTGCCGACGACCAGATGGGCAAAAAATAAAATTAATTGTTAATTGGGAAATTGACATAAATTTTTAGGCTTTAGTAAACTCTTTTAACGGTAATCTCGAGCTTTCGGCATTCTCTGTTGAGTCATCTTCAGGAGCTGAAAACACAAATATGCTGCTTTTATTGGTATTGGTTGCTAGCATCATATTTGTGTTTTCAGCTCCTGTAGATGGCTCCATAAAGAATGCCGAAAGCTCGAGATTACCCATTAAACGAGTTTACTAAAGCATAAAAAATATTGCCTACATATATTACAAAGAAGCATCTGCAACTACAGAATTGACAAATACAAAACTAATTCCAACTTTTTGAGTTTCATTTATGGATATAATTGTGATTTGTCCGTTTCAAAGTGGTTTGTCTTACCTGACCATAGGTGGCATCTCCCACCACTTTCCTAAATAGCACCTTATACACCGCTGAAGCTGCCGCAGCGGAAGTGGCCAGCACCACTCCTCCCAAAGTGGGACTACCGGTGATACCGTCCATATACGCTAACAACGCTACGCCAGTGTCACATATTATCACAGCCATTATCTGAAAAAAATCATATCAGAGATATGTCAACTTTGCTCTAAAAACTATGCATTATCAACAAGCAAGACTCAATGTACACGTTGGCCAGGAGATGGCACGAAAGCTTCACCCTGACAAATATAGCTTGTGCCATAAAATGCGAGAGTTGGGGCCGTTCCTACAATTGTAGGACGTCTTTAATCTTTGTGGCCTCCTTGATTTTCATAGTTCCTTCAGAAAGGCATGGGTATTCCTAGATTTTTACTCTTTCGTGTCAGCGCCCCAATTTGAGGTTATATTTTCTTGAATTCTAAGAAATTTCAGGCTGATAAGACTTGATTTTTATTATCTATCTGATCAAATTTCTTAAGATTCAAAAAGGAAATACAGCTTGACAAATGTGGAAACATCATATGTTTGGAAAGTGATATTCAAGGCTAGGCCTTGCTAAGAAGACCAGGATCAGGACGAATACTGCATTTTTATTTTTCATAACAGATCCTGTGACGTTTCTGCTAGATCGAAGGTCAGGTTTTATTGTATATTCCCTTAATTCAAGGCGATGAGAAAATACTAAAAAGAGGTAAATTTATTGGAGTAATTCTTGAATTGTGGAAAGACATATGTGTGGATGCACCCTGATGTGCTACGCATTCTCCAACGCGCCTAGGCATGCTTCTGATCAGGTGGTCAATGCCCTCATGTGGTATCTCATTCCAGGCAACCACCAACTCCTCTCGAAGTGCTTCTAGAGTCTGAGGAGGACGTTGCAAATTGAGCAATCTCCTACCCATCATATCCCACACGTGCTCAATTGGGGATAAGTCGGAAGATCTTGGTGGCCATGGTAACAATGTGACATCATTATGTTGAAAGAAGTCTATTGTGACTCTTGCAACATGTGGTCGGGCATTATCTTGTTGGAAAGTTGGATCTGCCAGGGTAAAAGATGGGTTCTAGAACTTCGTGGATATAACGCTGCGCGTTCATGTTACCTTTGATGAAGATTAAAGGTGACCTGGAACCATAAGCTATAGCACCCCAAACCAAAACTCCAACAGTGTGATGAACATGTCTTTCAACAAAAAACTGTGGATTCCTTCTTTCACCACGTCGCCTTCTAACCCTAGCACGACCATCGTGCATGCCTAAACAAAATCGAGACTCGTCACTAAAGACAATACTGTTCCATTCCTGATCCCAGACTGACCGTTGTCTGCACCACTCAAGGCGATTACGTCGGTGTTCTCGAGTTAAAGGGAGGACCCAGTGTGGCCGGTATGAAAACAAGCCAAAACATCTCATTCGTCGGTAAACACTTCGCATGCCAATAGGTCTTCCGTGTTCTGTAAACCATTCATTTGCAATGGACCTGGTAGTGGAGAAACGGTCCCTTATGGCCAATAATCTTAGGCGGCGATCTTCACCGTCTGTTGTTCTACGGCGGCGTCCAGTGCCCCTTGCTCTTTGCGTACGGCCTTCTCGAAGCCATGCCTGACAACACCTAACCACAGTGTCTAGACTTCTTTGCACTCTAACTGCAATTGCTCGAAAAGAAAGTCCAGCTTCCCGAAGTCCCACTATACGGTCCCTATCAAACTCACTAAGTTGACGAAATCGTACAGGTCTCCGTACTCTAGGCATCGTAATCGATCGTAAAGGATGTCAAGAACCAAAATCCGCCAACGTTGATTCTTTACTGCGGCTGAAATATTCATTTTTAGGGCGTTAGTGAATTAAAAAAAAGCAGTATAAAAACCGGAATGTCCAACTGATAAGGCTGAAAATTTTTTCACTTGTTATTTACAGTAAGATAATTACATTCACCAACTTTTATTAAAATAAAACCATTTAAACTGGGTGTTCGGATATATATGTCACTTAGTATATGTAAATAAATAGGAATACTCAATGAGTGAGTCAGTGTCTGTATATACGAAGACAACGAGACCTCAAAAATGATAAAGGAGGCGGGAAGAATTTTTCAGATGTGATAGAATCCTAAATGAGATATAATATAATCTAAAAAATTTGAAACAAGGCAAAAATCAACTGCCCTTTAGAGATTCTCCAGTTGTGAATCTTAAAAAAACTGTAATGTATTACAGAGTTGATTTGAAATACTATTTAATAACTCAATAAAAATGTATAAATAAATGAATAAGAATACTCAATGAGTGAGTCAATATCTGTGTATACGAAGACACCCAGACAGCAAGAATCATGAAAGCGCGTGAATCATTCTCGCTCTAAAAAATTTTCGGTTGCCAGTGTTCAATTAAGGTGAATTCATAAAAAAATGCATATAAAAACCATAAAATAAATATAACTAAGAAACGTATGTTTGCAGTTTTAATATAATAATAATAATAATAACATGTCTTTATCCGATTCATTTACAAATACATATTTTGAGTAAGGTAAGGTACTAAAAATTAAAATAAAATTACAAACATGAATAATAAGAATAGAGTAGTAAAACGATGAATAAATACATGTGATTTGTGCGTGAAAATCATACAGTCAGTATTATTCTTGCTAAATTTTCGAAAATTGATTTCCTCATTAATAGGTAGAGGAGGCGGATAGAAGCATTGCTTTTAATTTTTTCTTGAAATTTATTATTATAATATAATCCTAAAAAATTTAAACAAGGCGAAAATCAACCGTTCGTTAAAGATTCTCTATTTGTAAATCTTGAAAATTGTAATGTATAACAGAACTGTTTTGAAAGAATATTCAATAAAACAATACAAATGTGTATACAGGGTGTCCGCAAAGTTGGGGTCTTCCTTTTCAGAAACAACTACCCTTGACAAAGGTAATGTACGTAGTAAAACGAGGGCGACCAAGTAAAAAAAAATAAAGGAAAAAGTACTCACTCTCCAGTTGACGAGAAGGGCTAAGTACGTCTCTGCCCGAAATCATACCGCTCCAACAGAAAATGAAATCAGCTGATGCGCTACCGAGCAGACGCAGGCAAACAAGGAAGGCAAAATGTTGCGTAAAAAGTCTAGGTATTGCATCCCGTCCAATCGATTTGGGAGAATAAATGGTCCAATGAGCATACCGTTCACCATGCCAAACATTCACCGAAAATGTTTGTTGAAAATGTGCTCGACGGACAGCGTGCGGATTTTCTACTGACCAAACATGAGTGTTGCGAAAGTTATTCACCCCATTACGCGTGAACGTAGATTCGTCTGTCACCAATATGCACTTCAACAAGTCCGGATTATTGTCATGTTGATGCAACAACCACTCACAAAACCGCACTCTTGCTGGAAAATCGTCAGGTTGAAGAGCTTGTACACGTTGGACGTGAAACGGATACAGCCTCTCTTCACGCAGCGTTTGCCACACTTTAGTTTTTGATGCTTGCACTTCTCTAGCCACGTCTCTAGTGCTTGTTGAGGGATTCTCGTCTACGCGATTACCTCTACACGCGTGACCGTAACCGTCGGTTGAAGATTGCATACTGACCTGACACACTGACACCGACCCAGTTCTGTCGTCGGGTTGAGCTAGTGTCCTAGTACCACTCGGGGATATCGCGGCTACAGGACGGTATTCAGATATTTTTGATGTTGCAGAGCCCTTTATCTCGGTTCCCTTAACACATTGGTGTATATGGTACTAAGAAAAATTGCTACACGTCGTGTAAAGGAAAACCCCAACTTTGCGGACACCCTGTATAAATAAGAACACTCAATGAGTGAATCAGTATCTGTGTATACGAAGACTTCGAGAACTAAAAATCACAAAGGAGGCGGAAATCATTCTCGCTGTAAAAATTTTTCAGTTGCTAGTGTTCAATAAAAGTGAAATCATAATCCACTATATCTAAGGATGGACACTGAATACTCACTCTAATACCGACGAACTGCTCGTGCAAAATAACCCAAGAGAGCAGGTAGACGAATGAGACGTTGGTAGCGAAGAGCGCCATCACGTCCGTCGCAGGCAGGATCCTTAGGGACATTATGTACATGTAGTTCGTGCCTACCCATAAGATGCAGAATAGGCTGCAGCGGGTCATGAAACGCACTGCAAATATAGATAATTTTATTTTTAAGGATTCCTAGTTAGCCGAGTGGTTAGCGCGTCGAGCTACTTATCGGTCGACCCGCGGTTCGCGAGCTCGAATCTCCGCCTCAGAAGTAAATTCCGAGCCATGGATGTTGTGTCGTGTGTCTGTATTACGTACCAGATCGGTGAATTGCATCACGGGAGCAGGAGGCTGCATGTTACTACATGTTGAGACATGTCCATGAGCGCATAGTAGCCGCCAGCCGTCTGCTGATTCACTTGTTCATTTGTATTGACAGTGTAAAGTCGCGTAGTGAGATAAGGGCAGTACTGTGGTATAACTTTACGCGTGTTTTAAGCATAGACCAATGCTTAGAAGAAATGACGCTTGCATTAAAGAATGATTGCCCTCATCGTACGACTATATTTAGGTGTTCTGTGTGAAAATATGCTGATTTTGGACGTACCTGCTGTGAATCCTTTATCTCTGAAATCTCTTATGCTCTCTGAAAGAATATCAAAAATTGATTCACACCTTCTGTTGCTCAACCTTGTCAGGTAGTACAAAGGAAAGAACAGCATTGTCCAATTCGTGACGAACCACGTGGTGAAGAACGGCGCTTGATAAGTAACACTCTAGAAACAAAAACAGTAACGAAATATTTTGTTTTAGTAACGCCTTCCCTTCGAGAAACTGTGGTACGAGGGTTGTTTCAAAAAAAAATGTTCCCAACGCTGTAACTTTGCCGCACGTAATGCTGGGAGAAATCTGGCAACACTGTCGTGTTTGCCTATTCTCCATCATCGATCTCAACAAAAAGCGCCTATTGGCGATGCCCAGTAGTGGTGTTGATCCTCGTCACTTTCGAGCACTCGTTACCAATCGTTACTCTTCTCCAGAGTAATCATTTATTGTATTCATTACTTTGATTACTTTGATTTCTTTGATTACTTTGATTACTTTGGTTACTTTGATTACTTCGATTACTTCGATTACTTCGATTACTTTGATTACTTTGATTACTTTGATAACTTTGATCACTTTGATCACTTTGATCACTTTGATCACTTTGATCACTTTGATCACTTTGATCACTTTGATCACTTTGATCACTTTGATCACTTTGATCACTTTGATCACTTTGATGACTTTGATGACTTTGATCACTTGATGACTTTGATGACTTTGATGACTTTGATTACTTTGATTACTTTGATTACTTTGATTACTTTGATTACTTTGATTACTTTGATTACTTTGATTACTTTGATTACTTTGATTACTTTGATTACTTTGATTACTTTGATTACTTTGATTACTTTGATTACTTTGATTACTTTGATTACTTTGATTACTTTGATTACTTTGATTACTTTGATTACTTGATTACTTTGATCACTTTGATTACTTTGATTACTTTGATTACTTTGTTTACTTTGATTACTTTGATTACTTTGATTGATTACTTTGATTACTTTGATTACTTTGATTGATTACTTTGATTACTTTGATTACTTTGATTACTTTGATTACTTTGATTACTTTGATTACTTTGATTACTGTGATTACTTGATTACTTTGATTACTTTGATTACTTTGATTACTTTGATTACTTTGATTACTTTGATTACTTTGATTACTTTGATTACTTTGATTACTTTGATTACTTTGATTACTTTGATTACTTTGATTACTTTGATTACTTTGATTACTTTGATTACTTTGATTACTTTGATTACTTTGATTACTTTGATTACTTTGATTACTTTGATTACTTTGATTACTTTGATTACTCAGGGTAGCAAGAGTATACAAGCTCTTGTATTTTTGAAGCTTTTCTTATTTAAATTGTACTGAAGGTTGCTTTTTTTTAATCTGTAAGTTATATTGGTTTTTGAATTTGAATAAACTTTGAATAAACTTTGAACTTTGAATAAACTTTGATTACTTTGATTACTTTGATTACTTTGATTACTTTCATTAATTTGATTAATTTGATTATCTTGATTACTCTTATTACTTTTATTACTTTTATTACTTTTATTACTTTTATTACTTTTATTACTTTATTACTTTTATTACTTTTATTACTTATTACTTTATTACTTTTATACTTTTATTACTTTTATTACTTTTATTACTTTTATTTATTACTTTTATTACTTTTATTACTTTATTACTTGATTGCTTTGATTACTCTGTTCCCGGTACCTGTACAATCATTGATCGTTGAGTGGCAACTCTGGTTCAAAAGTAATCAAAGTAATCAACGTAATCAAAGTAATCAAAGTAATCAAAGTAATCAAAGTAATCAAAGTAATCAAAGTAATCAAAGTAATCAAAGTAATCAAAGTAATCAAAGTAATCAAAGTAATCAAAGTAATCAAAGTAATCAAAGTAATCAACGTAATCAAAGTAATCAAAGTAATCAAAGTAATCATTTCGTGCTCGGATTGGTACTCGGTACTTCGCGTATCTATGAGTAACGGGCACTCGAGTGACGAATAGTTACTTTTTCAACAACACTCATGCCCAGTACCGACCCAACAGCCATGCGCAATGTAGCCGTTCATCGCCGTCACCGTCAGGTGCGAAATTCAATGGTGAATTCGGTTTTTCAAATAAATAATTTCTTGTGCCTGAAAAAATGTGGGAACCTGATTTTGAGACAACCCTAGTATACAGTTTTAAGTTTCAATTAGCGTTGTCAAAACGATAAATTGACTATCAACCCTATCCAGGACAAGGGGTTTAAAAAGGCGACCATTACGATACACGCGGTGATAAAAACATCGATCGACATTGTGAAAAACATTTTAACCATACCAGAAAGTAGCAAATAGCGTGCAAAACTAAGATGATATACTGATATGTATGCTTCTGTTTTTGTTAACCGTTGTTTCGCCACTAACAGTATCTTCAAAATCAAATCATTTCGCATGTATCAATATTGGTTCAGCAGTAACTAATATTAGATTACAAGAACAGCAGTAGACAGACCAGGAGAAACTATAGTGTCTGTATTATGACGACAGAAAAATCTATAGCTCTAGCTCCAAAAGTCCTTCATTATAGCTCATTATAAGTAAATCGAGACCTATTCATAACCATCTGATATATTTGGCCGGTTTTTATTCAAAAAAGCAAAGGAAATGTTATTATCTATTCAGCCATGGTAGTATCGTACCATAAAAGCTCATTAAATGTTAAGAATATAGCTTCTGTAGCGAAATAAGAGCCTCCCTGGCCTCCTACGAGTTGGTTCAATAAAATATTCAAGGCGCTTTCAGCTAGAAATGTTTACGACGGAGAATGAAAGGCTGAAAATGCAGCGCCGTCCATCTCGTTCGTTCCGACAGATCACCTCATGAGCAAGATAAATGTTATCGACATGACTCGACCGAATATGTTTGCTTGCCGTTTCTGTAATTATGACGATCCGTAGAAAACTCAAAATGCTATGTGCCAACATATAAAAATGAATTACCAGTGCTGGGAAGGAATCGTGGAATGAGTTTATTTATCAAATACCATAGATGAAACCACAATAACACTACAATAAGCAAAATTAAAAAATCATAGAAAATAGAACAATGAAACTAAATCATTAAGAGAAGGGTAGAAGCAAATGGATAACTAAAAAATGAAAGGAATACTAACATAGAACATTATAATCAATGCAAAAATGAATTTATAGAACTTGTAAAAGAAACAAAACAAAGATACTATTTTCAGAAACTTAATAATAATTCACACAGTCTATGGACTACTAACTGTCAATGACATTTTAAAAGGAAAGCAACACAGAAACGCAAAAAGCGATTATAATAAATTTAAGTTACATGAAAAACAGAATAAGAAAATGCTTGTCAATTGTGATGTATGTGGTGTACCTCGGGATACAGTGTTAGGCCCTCTTTTATTTAATATCTATTTGAATGATACATTCAAAATTAACTGTGTAGTTAAAATAGTGTTATTTTTCTTATACAATGGAGTAAATAAATGTCTTGTACTACTGATGAGTGAAACAGAAAACAAATCTTTGCTTTATCAATAAGTACAGCAGACGCTCGATAATGGAAACCAATTTAATCCAAGTGTGGTTCACATTATCGAAATGTTTACATTAGCGAACGTAATTTATATAATATTTGATTTATTGAAAGAAACGTTTAATACATACTATTTATAACAAAATAAACAAATACTCTAACAGCGATAATTATTTTTTTAATTAGAAGAAAAATAATTAACAATTTTTGTCTGCGTAAATTTGCGCTTAGCATTGTCTTCCAATGCCTGCGCCCGTAATTTACGAATAACTAAAATATCCGTGTATGAAATTTCTTTTCTTTCAGCCCAATCTAAAGCTTGGTTAAAAACTTGTATAGCTTGCGCGTCAGTCACTACACTTCTGACTTCAATGGGATCGTTCTCATCATCCTCACTGTCCATATCCTCCTCCTTATCAGCATCATTCGTCTGCTTATCTTCGTTCCATAAATTAATATCAGCAGGAGTACAAACAATGTTGGGATTCACTGTTTTCAATAAATCAACAACATCCAATGACACACTAATAACATTATCATTTTTGGATCGCAAACGTTCTCTAATTACGCTTATGGGGACATCGTCTTCTTCATCATCTTCATTATTGGTACAAAAGAGATTGTTCCAACATTTTTGAATAGTTTGCTGGTTAAGTTCATTCCAGGCCATATGTAAATCTAAAACAGCTTCTCGTAATGTTACTTTTTTTAAAACCTCAGATAAGTTTTCAGGATTCTTTGATAAGACAGACGAAAGTAGAAACTTCCTATAGTATAGTTAGGTGAGTCTTATTATATTCTGGTCCATCGGTTGAATTAACGGTGTTACGTTGGGCGGCATGTACATGACGAAAATTGACCCATCCCTGCTCGTCAGTTGTGGCTCGGGAGGATGACTTGGTGCATTATCCAATAGTAATAATAATAATAATAATATTTATTTACTCTAAAATACAGGGAACATGAAACGAGTAAATAAATATAATATATCCATAGGAGGACAACGCCTGTGCATGGATCATATGTATGTTGAATTGCAAAATATAATAAAATAGAGAGAAAAAAGAAATTATTGGTAAGAATGGTAGAGCATTTATTGTGTAATATTTGAGATTATTTTATTAATTTGATTTCTCCCAATCGTGTTAATAAATTTTTTTAATTTTTTTTGAAGCCTAATGTATTGCGTAATTGTTTTAAATTATTTGGTAAATGTTCGTACAATTTTGGAGCTATATACAGGTGACATCGTTTCATTAGGGATTTGTTTGGTTTAGGAACGTTTTTTGCGCGTAATTTATATCTGGTTTTATGATTATGTTTAATTATGTCGTGTTCACTAATAGTTTTGTGATAATGAGTGATGGTATGTAAGAAGTAAAGTTGTTTAGTGTCATATACTTGTGCATCATTATATAAGTCATTAGTTGGGTATAATTTTGATTTGCCTAACATTGATTTTAAAATTCTTCTTTGAAGTACATCTAAATCGTTAAAGTATGTCGTGCATGCAGCACCCCACACTACTATACCATATGTTATGTGTGGCTCGACTAAAGCTTGATATATTATTCGTAGAT